CCTACACTGCTCCTTTAAATGAGGCCTACCTCGCTTTCAATTCAAAACCCTTACTCCTGTGGGATCCAGAACTCAGGACCAATTGAGGTCTTATATTCACCATCAAACACACTCAAATATGCTCCTAACTCAGAGACTGCCATGAACACCAGTCAAACATATCAAGGTAAAAGGATGTCTTTTGCACAATAGAGAAAAAACAATACAGTCTCCTTCCAGAATATTAAGCTGTATCAGTAGTAACGGAAAATAAGCAGATATGTGAAATCCATCTAGGATAAAAAAGAGCAAAGTAAAATGATGAGTTTACGAGTTTTATCTATCTTCCCTTTTCATGGTGAAATTTAGATTGAAATCCGAAAATAAGCAGCTCTCTAAATATGCTTCTTAAGATTGCACAAATATTTTCAAAGGTAGTTCATTTGAAAATAAAATGTTAGTCTTTCTTCTTTGAAAAAGAATTGTAAAACACTAAGCTTTGTAGTGTATTGACATACAAATCATAGTCCCAGTAACTTCATTCACTAATTCAAAAACCTCTGCTAAGCATGAGAAAAGGATAAAATACTCATTAAGCTTAAATTTCAGTTGGCTGTTAATCAAATAATTACTAAAGTGCAAAGGATTTAATATATTTGGGGTTTATAATTTGGAGGCAAACAAACTCCAATACACCTAACTAAAAATAATGAAGCAAAACTTGTATGGTCTAACCCTCTTAGTCAGATAAAACTATAACAGAAATATGGTTTTTTCTGAATAAATGAAATAAATATTTGGTTATAATGAATTTAATTAAAAGGTATTTGAAAGTTAAATAAAAGTTGTTTGAAGATATATTAGAAACACATCATAAGCTTTTTTCTTAACCTTTTGAGAACCAAGTGATTTGACTATAATGGAGAAAACTTTTCAGACCCCAGAACTGAAATACATTCTTTCTTCATGATTATGTAAGGAAGGTGATAGTGTGTGTGTAGCTCTCCCTTTTTTCTAGTCCTTTCATATAAAATTTTTCTAGAAATATAGTTTGTCAAAAAGAAACTAGAGACAAACCTTTCATAGCAATGCACTTACCCACTTGGTGTGAGGGGTAGAAAGGAAATGATAGGGTAGAACTTACCTCGTTAGTTTAGAGAATTATTTCAAGGCCTGGAGACACCTGAGGGCATGCCCCACTGGACTTGGGTTACTTTGTACGCATGCTACTGTGCAGTGTTATTGGGGACAATATATAGATCACCCTGAGGGACTTGAAGAAGAAAGGGCATAGTCCCCACACCCCACCATTTCTCAGTGTGGGTGTAGTTGGGAAAAGAAGCTGTTCACAATTTGACCTCCACATGGAAAATGCAAAATTCTTCCAAAACCATTGCCTCTTCACAGCAGTGTAACAAGAGGCTATATACACAATGCAGAGCATAGCAAGCCCCACTGGCTATTTTCTCTGCCCAGAGTACTTCTCACAAAACTAGTCACTTCTCCTCCTTCAGGACTCCACCCCAAAGCCAACTTCTCACTGAGTCCTTTCCTAACTTCACCAATCCAAGTTGCCCTCCCTCTACCTCCACCCTATCTCATCACTCTCCCACAAAACACTTCATTTCCTTTACAGCACGTATCACTATTAGAAAACATTTTCTTCATTTCTTTACTGATTTAGTGTTTCCTTCTTCCCACTGAAAAGTAATGCTTCTTGAGGTTGTGACCAGTCCTGGCTAAAGAACCATTGCCATTCCTTTGCAAATATTTGTTGAATGTCAGAGGCTGGGTACACAATGTTCAGCAAAGCAGGCATGACCCTTGATCTTACTTTCTTGTAGTTTATAGTGTAATGGATGAAACCTATATTAATCAAATAACTACATAAGCAATTGTAAAATTATATCTGTGATTAGTGCTGGGAAGCAGAGAGATATGCACTAACTGAGTGGATAATGGAAAACCTACTTCAGTCAGGGAGGTTGGAGAAGGTTTATCGGTGGAAGTGACTTTAGAGCTAAGGTTTCAAAGATAAGTAGACATTAAGTGAGGAGATTCTAAGCTGAGGGAAATGGAAAGACCCTGTGGCAACAGGCAAAATGATGTACATAAGTGACTGCGAGAAGGCAGATGCAGCTGGAACACAGGAAGCTGTGGAGAGCAGGCTGCAGGGATAGATCATAGGGGTCACCAGGAGCTAGACCAGAGCCGGGATTGGTGAACTGTGACTACCTCTCATTTATTAGGAGTGATTGAGTCTTCTGTGTGTGCAAATGTGGGAGTGTGTGTGTGTGTGAGTGAATGTTCATAGGGGAGCATAATCGGGTTGTACATTCTAAAGATGGTTATGGTTATTCTGTAGAGGACAGTTGACTAGAGAGAGATAAAAATAGTGTAAGTGGACCACTTAGGAGGTCATGGCAGTACCCCAGGGACAAATGATTGACATTTGAATTTAGGTGGTGCACTTGGGAAAGAAAGTAAATAGGTAGACTCCAGAAACATTAAAGATACAAAATTGAAAAGACTTGATGTTGGATTGGATAGGAAAGAAAATAAGCCAACTTGCTACTTACTTGAGTTGATTAATGCTGCCATCATTATCTGAAAGCGAAGATACTGCAAGGAGATATGGTGGGGTATAGAGATCATGAACTTGGCTTTGACATGTTAGGTTAGAAGACTTTATAGGGAGCTTGAATAAATTATGACTTGCTACACTTCTTGAATTTCTATGAGTTAGAGTTTTAGCCCTATTCAATTCAACCTGGCCAATTACTATCACTCTCTAAAATAATTTTGTTTATCATCCTTCTTTAATAGCCAAATGGAAGCATGCACTTTTGTTTTCCACAACTTTAAATTCTACATATTGTGTGAAGCACCAAGAAGGCCTAAACACCAACTCAATAATTTTTACTGTTGTGAGAATTGAGGGATGGGCTGTTGGTGGTTTCATCTGTAAAGAAATAAAATCAGTAACTTGAAACCTGAGATCAAAACCATATATCAAAAAAAAAAAAAATAGCGGAATACCAACACACAGTTTTATAGAACCTGAGCCTAAATTGTCAAAATCATACTGCATTTAATACAGACATCCAAGTCCAGTCAAATAATATTTCATAATATCAAATTAGAATGTTCACAGCACATCGCAAGTCATTTGGATTGATGTCACCTCCCCAACACACTTGGCCTTCACTGTTGATTGTCTACCCAACAAGCAACAGAGCCAGGTAGGAGGTATTTTATCTAAAATAATGCACAGTTATGCTGAGATCTATTTGTGACGTACTTTTTAAAGGCAGTGCAAAAATGTCTGCTGATACGTTGAGAAAGTTTATCTAGAATTAACCAGAAGATATTTTGTTCCTTTTATATATTTCTATTATTTTAATTCTGTAGAAACTCTGGGATAGTATGCAGAAATTCTTTCCATTTTTAAATCATTTTGTGAGTTCAATTTAATGTTACTTTCTGGAAAGATATCTTCTATTTTTTTAAATGTATCTATCTATCTGTCTATCTCATCTATCTACCTTCACATATGTGTGTGTAACTACTCTAAAATATTTAATTACTATATATGTTCATAGTTTTGTCTGACTTAAAATTTTATGTAAAATTCCATTACTTTAAATAGTAATAATTTTCAGAGAGAGCAACACTAGTCTAAACTAATATAAAAACTGTAATTTTTACAAATATATAAGCCCTCCCAAATAAGGTAATTTAACAAATGGTATTTTTCTGAGTAAACAAAGTAAATGCCAACTTGCTAACCTACTTTGAAAACTTCATCAAGTAACCTAAACAAGCAATCTGTTCATTCATATATCAAGTAGTTAAGAAAAAAAAGAATTTGCTGATGATATTAAAGTAGAAACAGAACCTTTCCAGAGTTTGCCATTATATTTTCTCTCACTTAAAAAAAATCCGTTTTTAATTACTATGATTTAATTTGAACCAAAATCAAGTGAATATATATACTCCTACAATTTAATCCACTTCTAGAAATAGAGAAAATGTGTTTATGCAGGCAGCCACCAGGAAAGCCATCACATGTAGACAGTGATGTGGATCAAAGGGATGTTTGAGTCCTTTCATTAACAGCTATGTGATAAAGGGACACAAGCTTGAAGAAATGCCTTTCCCATTCGGAACAGGTAAATGATCTGTCTGCAATGTCTGTCACTGCCAATGGCCAGCGTGGATGCTCTGTCATGGTTATGTAGTTGGGTAGGAAGACCATCCTGCTAAGGGTTATGTGTACTCCACTGGATGTTTATGTCAGCATTGGCCCCATGACTGCAGTGATGTCTACCGCTAAGTGAGTGAGCATCCCTGATATCTAAGCCTTACATCTCACACTGAAAACTACTTGCAAGCAATATACAGAAACTTATCAATTGAAACTTATTAAGTATTATTTACCCAATATTCAGAGAACAGAGAGCTATTCTACTCAATGTAGGGAATACACTTATTCAGAAAACTTCAGTGTTCCTTTTTATATTAACATTTATTGTTTTCTAATTATACACAATACTTGGCATATTAGAAAAATTTACAGATACGGAAAAATATATTAAAAAGAGAATGAAAAACGCCCATAATCTCATCTCCAGAAATGGCCCTGTCAGCATTTTGGTATAGTTCCTTCCTGTCTATCTTTATGCATATGTAACTTTTTAATACAACTAAAATTGTACTATATATGGCATATTAGGCCAGTTTTTAATACAATAATACAATTTTCCATGTTATTAAATGTTATTTAAAATAAAGAATTTTAAAGTCTCTACAATGACCAATTGGTTAGCTGTATGGTAATCTATTTAGCAGGTAATGTACTTAACGATACATATGCTATTTCCAACCTTCATTATTTAAAAAAAATTGAATTTTTACAATTCTTTTCTAAACTTCTGAATTCAATGCCCTTTAAACCATTATGTGAAACACTGACACATCAGTTTTAAAGCATAATAAATAAATCGCTCAACAGACATAAAAATAATCTAACTTAAGATTTTTAATAAAAATGATATAAGTAATGAAAGAGCTACTTTATGTAAATCACAACATTTGAAGGCATATTACTTCAAAGAGGTGTCTTGTCTCTAAAGGCACAATTTTCAAAGATGCACCAGGTAGCAAGTGCCACTTGCGGTGATAGTCTTTGTGTTGAGAAAAATGCCTAAACTTTTGCTATATCAGTGACTGCTGTGATCTTGTCTCATAAGTGAGATCTCAGGCACATTTTTGTCTTCTTACAAGGAGAAGAGTCCTGGAGTAGCTGGGGCGCTGACGGGGAGCCGTTCACGTATGGGCCACTGCAGCAGGCAGAGGATCTTGATTGTCAGAATCAACTGTTCATGCTACATAAGGCAGGCAACCGTTACCAACATGTTCATTGAATGGCAGTGCAAAGATGATCAACTACAAAGTGCTCATCTGTAATTTGGGTTGACTTTATAGTAGTCTGAGAGGTTGGGATAAATAAACGAAACATTCTCCAGATAATTCACATGAATAAACTTGATAAAGAGTGTCGAGAAAACATCTTTCCAACAATTAGTCTTGCATTGGCTTTTTAAAATATTTTAAATAATGATTCTATTTTTAAATAATGATTCTAAATTTGTCTTAGCTGGAAAATCCATCAAAATCACTGTATTTCAACATTGGCATCTATGAATCCCTTTATTATAGATTCTTTCTATTCCATTTAGTTACTAGGTATTCAGATGTCTAAAATCCAAAATGAGTAGTTTAAATATATTAAATAACAACTGTGCTAGTCAGTGTGTTTGAGTTCAAAATGTCTGAAAACAACAACTGCACACAAACCCCCAATTCAACCTGCCTAGTAATTTGCACCACACAGAAGCTAATCAAAATCAGCAGTGTCATTCTACGGTTATCTAAGACAACAACTAGACAATGGCTATTCTTTTCCTGAAGGTATGGGCAAAACAAATTTAGACCCTTTCCTCTGATTCTCAGTCCATCGCCCACCAAACAATGACACAGTTTGGCATATGACTTCGCCACTCTTGAGTGACTGAACTGGAAAGGGCGCTATGGTCTTCCTGACAGCGACCTTCAAGGAGGGAGCTGTGTTAGTGCCACCCTCATCCTTCAGGTACACTTCATAGGCAAGGCTTACTGCTCTCAAGAGACAATTGTGTACCCTAAGTGAGTAGCATAACACATACCATGTGCATTATTTCATTCACTAAGTAAGAACTGCCCTTACCAGAGGAGGCTAAAACTCACCCATTAGCAGACAGATCTTTTGTTCTCACATTTGAAAGCACAGGTTCAGAATGGAAAAGGAATTTAAACCACCAGGTGGATTCTGCCACTTCAGGCAACCCTATCAAATAAAATTTGTATTACTCCTTATCAAACAAATTTGAGATTAAAAATAAAAAGAAATAATACAGATGGCACTGAAAGAAATAGCTAAGTACCTTGCTGTGATTTGTCATCATCTATGAAGTTAATGGAATCAGAGCCAGTTAAAGAACTAACTGAAGAAACACTGGACTCTGTGGGAAACAAATGATATTAAACAAATAAATAACTGGCAACCAGACAAGCACATTCACATCATTTAAATACAAACTGTCAAGTAGCATGGTTTGAAATCATTTATTCCTAGCTTGTGAATTCGTGAATTGAAAAACTGATCAAATTACCAATCAATAGAAAGCTGCTATATTAAGAAATACTATGTTCTACTGATAAGATATAGTCATTTCCAAGGCAGGCAACTCACCCTCTCCTTGGATATGAATGTTGAATTTAAAATGTATTATAAATGTTTTCAGATTCAAAGACTAAGAAAGAACAAGACCAAGAATAAATATTGTCGTACTACATTAGAAATATTACATACATATATATTTAAAGTTCTACAAAAGTCATCAAATCTAGGAATTAAGGAGTTATTTTGAAAGAACAAACATTTTGTCTTATTAAACTTGTATTTAAAACCTATGTCTCTTATAAGATCAGAATATAAAAGTAACTCCTGTGGATAAATAACACCAAGTAAATGAGCATAAACTTTTGTAAAATAAATAAATCAGTGGTTGTCTCTAAAACTTATACTATGAGCAACCCTTGAAAGAAGAGTTTTCTATGCGTTGTTGCCATGGATACTTTTAATAACTACTAATTTGGTTCTAAAATGCTTATTTTATTTTATGAAATTTCTCAATCTTCTCTAAGAAGCTACAATTTTCTATTTGGCTATGAATATGAACAGATGGATAGATTAATAAAAATAAAACTGGCCAGATAGAAATTGGCCTGTTATCCATAGCAGAAGATGGAAATTAGAAAGTTTTTGAAGCAAAATCATGCTATCCTTTCTTTTCTAAGGAGTTGAATAATACTTTATGTATGTAAAACTATCTGTTTTTAGTGGATCTTACAGAATGCAAGGTATATAAAATTAAAACATTGTAATGAAACATAAGCTGATGTTCACTGATTTTTAAGTGTCAATGGCTTCATCAATACAACGTAGCTAGAACAAAGAAGTGGCTGTCAGCACTGGGTCAGAGAGGTCCCTGAGGCCTCCTGTTTCCTTCGTTGTCACCAAGAATTAGTTTTCTCCCTTAAGTTCTGAAGGTAACATGATACCTATGTTAACAATATCCCACAAGCATCACCTCAAATCATATTACCTAGGGATGTCTCTATGATGGTGCAACTTACTTCGATAATACTGATTTCTGGCTAGAAGGCAACCGATGGAAGGTACCGATGCCATGGCTTTACCCGTGAGAAAGCACCCAAGAAGCTGTGAGCATCAATCTGAGAAACAGCAGCAGAGAAAAGAGGCATTGATATGAATAAGAGGGAGTTTTCTTTTCTTTTTTTCCACGTGACTGTTACAAAGTATTATCATTTACCATGTAATAAATATCTGACAAAAGGAATTTAAATGTTTACACAAAAGTTCAACCAAACATATTGCAATAAAAAGATGCAATTAAGTAGTACATTTAGGTCAAAAAGAAAGAAAAATTATACGTCCAACTATACACAATGCACAGAACTTACTCCATCTACAACAGACCTAAAAGTCAGAGAAAAAGTGTTAACTCAGCCATGAAGTAGTCACTCACCTATTTGTTTTCTCCAATTGGTTCTTTTAAAATAAACGCGGTTCTAAAGTTTCTTCAGAAAATACATGCTTTGAAAGAACCAGTTCTTAGAGATTGAAGAGAGGCTGCACCACCCACCCAGGCCCAGAGGCAGGCGCGTGATCGGGGACCCCTGAGCACACCTTATATTTAGAAGCCCCAGGCTGGCTGGAACCTGAGCTGTGGGTGACTTGGAGTGAGGTGGGCACACAGCCAGTCAGAGGCGGCAAGCAAGCACTCCCTGCACGTCTGCCCTTTAGCCAGCCAAAGGCCCTCAGAACGCGGCAGCCTGCCAAGTTTGGCTCCAGTCAGCAGGGAAGGACTTGGCCCGATGCTCCTTTGGACTCAGCCTGTTTAGTATCACAACCGCTGGTGACTACAGAGAGAGAGGCGATACGCAAGTGTCTCCTCAGCCTTAGATACAATCACACTCTCCACCTGCAACACCACGCTGGGCACGTGTGGGATGCACAAGCAGCCTGCTATCTGGCTGGGGAGACTGAACATACCCTCCCACAGTTACAGCGAGGCAAGGCAGAGTCCCACTGTCAAAGGAGAGCAAGAAAACGCTCTAGGCAACATTGAAGTCGTCCCGGAAGTGGGACAGAGTCAGTAGAACTTGATGGACAGGTGGACCGTCAGTGAGAAATTCTAGCAGGAATGACAAGAGACAAATGGAAATCATGGGTAATAAAGAGGATATTTATGACATTGTATCAATATCATTTACTGATACAAAAGCTAAGTTTTATTCTGGTTTCAGTAACATTTCTCAGATAGATTGCTTTGCCCTTTCTTTTCTTTCTTTTTTTTTTTTCTGAGACTGAGTCTTGTTCTGTTGCCCAGGCTAGAGTGCAGTGGTGCGATCTCGGCTCACTGCCAGCTCTGCCGCCCGGGTTCAAGCCATTCTCTTGCCTCAGCCTCCCGAGTAGCTGGGACTACAGGCGCCCGCCACCACACCCGGCTAATTTTTGTATTTTTAGTAGAGATGGGGTTTCACTGTGTTAACCAGGATGATCTCGATCTCCTGACCTCGTGATCCACCCGCCTCGGCCTCCCAAAGTGCTAGGATTACAGGCATCTTTATGATACAATTTATATTTCTTTGGGCACATACCCAGTAATGGGGTTGCTGATTCAAATGATAGTTCTGTTTTTAGGTCTTTAAGGAATTGCCATACTGTTTTCCACAAGGGTTGAACTAATATACACTCCTGCCAACAACGTATAAGCCTTTCCTTTTTCTCTGCAACCTTGCCAGCACCTATTATTTTCTGACTAAGTGCTATCTTTTAATTGATTTCTAAATCTTCTGCCTTGTCATGAGATAATTTCTGATTTTTACTCGTTTTTGAAGTAGTCTATGGAAGTGGCTTTCTGTGCACTTGAGAAAAATAAACATTATTTATTTGCTGTATACTGCCATTATTTTACATGTATCTGCTAGATTGCATCACTTAACTTTTATAAGCAAATAATTCTTATACTTACCAATGTGTTACTGCTTGATCTACCAGTTTCCTGTATGAGTATATCATCAAATTATATCAATTTTTGTTTTATGAATTTTGAAGTTTTGTGATAGGTGCACACAATAATCACGATTATAATATTGTCTGAGTAGATATTTGCCTTTGTCTTGTTTTATCATGACTAACATTTTACCTTTGTGCTGTTTGTTTAATTAGTCTAATATTAATATTATTGTACCAGCTTTTTCTCTAAGTAATCATCAAGTATGTCTTTTTGCATCCCTTAATTTTCAACTTGCTGTAACAATCACTTATAAGCATCCTTTAACTGTATTTTTTCCTAATGATATCTGTTTTTTGAAATATTTGAGTAATTACATGTAATGGAATTACTCACAATTTGAACTTTAGATATTGAGATTTTCCTACATAATTTTTATGTCTCAGTCACTTACATGCGTGTGTATACTTTAAAACCTTAATATAAAAGTAAATTTAGTTAATTTAACCTTTGTCTGCACTGCATTTTGAGTGAGTACCACAGTGTTTCTTCCAATTTACTACTTCTCTTTTTAACTATATCGTACCTAAAATTTAGCTTGTATGTATGTATACACACACACACACACATGTATGTATGTTTGTATATATATTTACCTATGTAAATTTAGTTGCTTTATTTCTGTCCTGTTTTTCATAGTTCTTTCGTTTGTTTCTCTGACCATCTTTAACATGGTTACTATGAAGTCTTGGTTGAAACCCTCTATGAAATCAGCATCATTCCATGTGCATTCTGTCACAGTTGTGACTCTGTTGGCTGGCTTTCTGAGCAGGAGATCTCTTCATAAGTTTTGGCTGTTAGTTTGCAGGTTCATTTCGAGTGTTCTCTCAGTCCCCTGTACTCTCCCACCCACTAGGCCACCCCACCTCTCCTAGCTAGTGGCACCATGGGGTTCAGCTACCACTCTCACCTGACCCTAGTTTTTGTGTCTTTGAATTATAACACTACTCACATTTTATTAAGTTATTTACTTCTTTCACATATTAAATTGTGAGCAGGTCAAAGATGGAGGTGCCTCTATTCATTTCAGCTTCAGCAATGCCCAGCACAAAACCTGACAGATATGGTAGTTTAGGTTCCAAAAATGTAATAAAACCAATGCATTCCTTCTTTGCCTGGTAATAAGGATTACATTCTTGGGTAATAATTAAAAAGTCACAACAGAGCTTAGATTTAAATGCTATAACTGACATAATTAGAGTAATTTTTACCTGATTGCTGATTCATGGTTTTTTTTTAAATACTCAAGTACTAAAATTAATCACAATCACATTCTCAGTATTTTGTCCTAGAGTTGAGGGTGCTAACATTTTTACTTGATAATGACAAGAAGAGAGTGAGTACCTGATTCCAATGACATGCTGAAAACCAGCAGGGAAAATGGTGCTGTCTTCTGCACACTCCTGAGACAAGTTGTAAGATGTGCCCTACTGAGGTATCAGCCTCTTAAAGGGTTGAGAAAGGGTTCAGAAAGACTAAGTTATAATTAGTCAACTGCAACCCTTCTGAGAGATGATCTGTTTATCACATGTAAGATACTATTACCCTTTCTAAATTTACTGACATTGGATGCAGTAGTAAATAGATATCAGATTGCTGGTTTCTGGAGCATGGAAATCCATGGCAAGAACAATGGCCAAACTTGCTGATAATTCACCATGACCTTATGTTGTCACAACCACTGGCCAAGTGTGCAGTAAGAGAGGATCAATATCTGACTGTCCAGGAAGACTTAAAATGTCTAGATCTTATTCCAGTCTGTGGTTATAAAGTATCTGATTGTTCATACAAGATGTCAAGAATTTTAAGTGTGTCCTGATATTCAGGCCAATAAATGTACTATATTAAGCATGGCATAGTCACTCCTAATAACTAATGCTGCAAATGAATATGTGTAGCATGTATTCTATAAACACATGGCAATCTGCATTAAAACACTGTTTCATTTCTTAATTGTTGTGGAAAAGGTTGCCAAAAACTAGTTATTGACTATCTCTGGGCCTCCACAAGTGATATATGAAAAAGGAAATAATAATATCTAACTTTATTTGAAATTCATTTTAGTTTCAATACATATAATTCAATTGTTTGTTTAAATTTTATATTTCTCTGAATCGTCTGTAGTCTATCCATTAATTGTCATGATTTTGTACAACAGAAACCAATCTCATCTAGAATCAGGAAACAATTTATTGGGAGAATAGTGGTCAGTTCATACAATGATTAGGAAGCATAGAGCAGTGTGCTCTCATGAGCAGGATTCTCCAGGAAAGATCCTGGGAGCTTATACGGAGTCATCTGGTACATGAATTGCCAGAGCCAGGACACGGCAGGAGGTGCACCCAAACCGCTTCCCATGGCACTGGAGCTAAAATTGCCACAGCCACACATCCCAAGGGCTGGGCTGCTGGCTCCTCTAGACAGTCTCTAAGAGGTGGCTCCCTAAATCCCGTGGGCATCCTGAATCTGCCTCCTTACACTCTGGCTGTTTAGTGATCCGCTGATAAAGTTGTTCTTATCTAGAAGAAGGCAGCACAAAACAATATAATATTACAGTATGCTCCCCAGAAAATTCTTGCCCTCCTGCTTCTTGGGGGATGAGAGATTGGGGCTGAGTGCTCTCTCTTACTGACCCCTGGCTCATACGCTTTCGGGATAAATCCTGTTTTTCAACCCGTACTATGTGATGTTGTAAACTCTGTCCTGAGAGCTATTGCACTTTTGGGAGTCACTCAGGAAAAAAGCAGGCTTAGAAAATGACAAGAACCAAGTACATTTAAGCAGAGAAGCATCTGCCCAAGTCACACCACAGGCAGAAAATGGTGAGGGGTCTGCTGTCATCTATGACGAAGCCGCCAACACAAAGCCCCCAGCGGGCTGAACTTAGGGGCTAACCCTAGGCCAGGCGATTGCCTCTAGCTTCATGGAGATGGAGAAGACATGTATCCTTGTAGCAAAAACTGCTGTCTTTCAGTATCTATTCTCTTCTTTCATTTTTAACATTTATTAGGCATCATCCACTCAACTAGGCAACCCATTTCTCAGCCTCCCTTGCAACAGGGAATATGTCTGGGCCAGTGAACTGTGAGAAGTGTGTTGTTCATCTTTAAGATCATCTCCTTAGAGACCAAGCCACTTGGCATGGACTTCTTTTTGGCTTACTGGCTGGAAAATGTTACTCACCAAAACCATCTTGGAAAAGGCCACACTGTGAGAATAGCTTTCCCACCTCAGGGCTAGTACCAGAGAATGAAATAAAATTCTCTTTCTAGGCCGTATCATGTTCTTATTATTATGAGAGATTAGCTTGCACTCTGACCATGAAAATCAACTTGGACTTCAATAGGGAGTGGCACAGAGTGTTAGGTTCCTCCAAAATAGAATAGGTCTTCAGATGCTGAACTGCCAAGGAACAAAGGCTGATGTCACCAGAATGTTTTATTGTCCTTGATCCTAACACGTATCTTTTGCTCTGCTAAGCAGTCCTAGTCATTTCCTTCCACTTGAATGTGGCAGCCTCACTCCCACCACATGTCCTAACTTACATTGTTTACACAACTTGCAAGTATTTCTCTTTTGCCCTTTTTCCTG